GGAAACAAACTGAGGGTTGCTGGAGTGGTGGGGGTTGGGAGGGATGGGGTGGCTGGGTGATGGACATTGGGGAGCGTATGTGCTATGGTGAGTGCTGTGAATTGTGTAAGACTGATGAATCAGACCTGTACCTCTGAAACAATACACTATATATTAATAAAAAAAAAATAGGACTGATTTAATGTCTTTAGACTGGTACAGGAACAGGTTCCTTAGAGAATGATTCTTGTTAAACTTGATCACATCTGTCTCCTTCATGGGAATGGATCGTAAGGGGTTTTTGAGAATTACAAGGAAGTGGTAACAGGAACTTCAACATAGCCAAGCTGCGTGGGAGTTTCGTGCAGGGAGCCGTCAGGCCTCCTGCCCTGTTTGGTTGAGACCAGACTAAGCAGAGTATTCCTTCTTCTTCCAAACACCGTCCTTACAGTAGCTGCACTCTATGATGTCATGTGCAGGTGCCAGCATGACAGCGTTCATGGCTGTCTTGGCACTTTGACAAAGTTCGCTTGAGGTTGTAGCCCTTAAGAAAGAATGTTCAGGTGCTAACACTTTTCTTTTTTAAGGATTGGCTATTTTGAGATATTGGTAGAATCTATAGATTTAAAAAGCCAGAGAAAAGGCAGTGTTGACCAGGTGCAACTAAGAAGTGAAGACTTTTTCTCCTTACAATAGTGAATGTAAGTGGTAATATTTGCTCAAGAGGAGAGCTGCATTCAGGGCCTTTCACCAGCAAGGAAACCATTCACAAAAAGTTTTCCTTAAAAAAAAACAAACAAAAAAACCCAAGAGAAATACTGTTACTCAAACTGATCATCTACCTGTTTACTCTTGGTTCCAAGTAACTTCTAGCTTTGAAAAGATAAAATCTACCTTGAAGGAATGGGGCTTTTCCCCCAGTGAGCACTATGTATTTGTATATTTGTATCTATATCTATATATTTATATCCACATATATATATTTCTCAAAGATAAATTTCTTAATTCATTTGGCCAGTTATTCTTTGGGATAAATATAGAGTACTCCAAGGTGGAGGCCAATAATTATTTTTCCATGCAAGTTCTTCTATGGTGGTAGGACGGCTACCAGCCACATGCTGTCTCTTTCACGATCAGTAGAGGGAGGAAGAGCCCTTTCTCTAGCTTTGCAAGTGAAAGTCCTAAGATTCATCCTCACTTGGAGTAGCTTAGGTCATTACTCACCAGTAATTTTTACTGGGGAAATGGATTATGCAGCTTGGCTTAAGACAAACCAGACCATTCCTAGAGTTAGGGGCAGGGCTAAGTTCCTGGAAGCACAAGGGCTGTGTGGAGGAGATGTGAATACTTTAAAAATCTGGGTACTGGTAAGAAGGGGGTAATGAATCTCAAAATTCAATGACTATATATATTTAAAAGCAAAAATATTAAAGAATTTCTGAGTTTCAAGGTAATACAGACGGTAAACAAGCAGATATTTCTAGTGCCCCAAGGGAACATGTCTGAGAACATAACAGAAATCCAAAGCAGAGGACAGCCAGGAATGATGGTGTCATGAAGAAAAGGGGGCGGAAGTATTGGTCTTCGTTGGGACCCTAGAGATACAGCATTAGGAAGCATCAAAAGCAGCTTCAGTCTGTGAATGTGAAGAGCGAGCTCTTCCAGCTGAAATAAAAATGAGAAGGAGTGACAACTTTAGGGGCAAGTGTCTTGGGCACAAGCAGGTTCCTACTAAGGGCAGTGGTGGCAGCCACTCACACATGGGGCTGAAAAAGTGACCACCTGCCCCCTAAATCCTGTGGAGGCTGTGTTATCAGGTAGAACTCACTATGAGCGCAGCATCTAAGTGCTGAGAACCCAGAGCTCAAAGGAGAAATGGAAATCTACTGGGATCCACTGGATGAGAAAGAAAGAAATCTCAGATAAGAGCTGGGGCTTGAGTTGTGCTTGTTACAAATTTATAACTTTGCCAGGAGGCAGCAACATCTCAAATTTATTCTATAAGAA